GCCCAAGCACACTTAACTGCGGAGTTCTGATGGGATCCGGAGCTTTAATGCTGGTATGATCGCACCTTTTTAATTGCGCGCTGCAAATACATACACTTCTTCTCATTCAAATTGAAATCTCAAGCACCAAAGTAATCTTAACCATCATCAGGTCCTTTTCAAGGATACATTAGAATAATCAATTGCTGCTCTGAGTTAAAATGTACAAAGTCATTTTGTTTGAAATCAGAAAGCAATATAAAAAGTCAATTACAAAAACTAGAGCTCACACCATAAAACCACCATTGCCATTACATCCCAGTAATTGCGATCACAAGGATCCATTATCTCCCAACCATTACAAGTTAGCAACTTCAAATTCCTAATGTGAAATTCACTAAATGGATGCTAGCTAAATGATTGATGCATAAAAATAAAGATCCTAAGTTGGGTAATTAGTGTCCAGGAGGTTTTCTATGTAATTATTATTTTTACTACTTTAACTACTTCCTATCATTAGTTATTTAGGCAATGTACGTAGATCTGGAAATGTACAGGGTGACACCTTCTTTGGGCTTTGTTTGGTGTCATTCAACTTTTTTTCTCTGAAGGAAAGGACAGCTTTTTGAGGTTTATTAGGATTTAGAATTTTCTTTCCACTTTTGTTCTTTTGGTATTTTCCTCATTAGTTGCAATTAGTGCCTATATAAGGTTATTAACCTATACACAGTAAACAATGTTGAATTCAGAACTATTTTACTAGGCTTTTTATTCCATGTTATCTCCTTATTGCTCTTTCTATGATTCTTGTTTCTTCCACCCTATTTAACTTGTTTGTCTCTTCCCGTGCACCTTAATCTTGGATTTACTTTAATCTTTCTCCTATTTCTGTTTTCTCATCTAAATTTCCTCTCATTCCCTACTATAGTAGGATAAACTAGTTTCTAACCCTCTTTGTCAGAATACCATCAAACAATTCCAAACAGTCCTAGCAGCCTGAAAAATGAAATGAAAATAAAGATAAAATGCAGACTCAAACTCACCATCGACAACTTAAAATCTTCAGCGATGGTTGAATGTTCATTAACACCACACAATAGCTATTCTCAGACAAGTCCGACCAACCTATACCAGGAACCTTGACAGCAGAAATCGCTAGAAAGCACAATTTTTTACTCAAAAAAAATGATGAACAACCTCAGTCGTTGCTAGATCTCCAACTTCTCGACCACCACAAGTGACACCGACTAGTATTGTACAATCGCCACTTCAAGCCAAATTGTCCTGTGAGATGCTGACTCTCTTCATGAAATACTTCTCCTTTACGGAATGTTTATATGAAGCTATCTACTTAGATGTCTTTAGTTCCAACATATTGCATGGACTATGTGCACTATTGATGGCAAATTTATTATCTGAGTGGAGCTTCATAGGCCCCTTTTATTTTAAGGAGCAATGATTATCTTCCACCATAATAAATCACAAACTCCATCTGCCATGACTCTCAATTTATCTTCAGCACTGCTCATTTACTTCCATATATGTACAACATTCACTCATTTATTTAACAGCTAAGAAATCATGTTCAGCCCCTAATTTCTCTTTGGTTATAATTTGGATTAATTGATTCCTAAATCCTAGGATTCCCAGATTTCAAAATTGATTCTAAGGTTAAATTTTCTTGATTAGGCACACCTTTGTTATATGAATACTGAACGCGTATCCTTTATTTGTTAAGAAATATTTTACTTTTTTCCACACTTCTATTTTCTCACATAAATTTCCTTTAATTCTCTAGTAAGGTTTCAATCCTATATCACCGATTATCATCAGAAATGAGAAAGAATTAAAAACATTATCAGCTGAAAACATGAGAAAAAAATACTGGTTACCTTATCAATTGGTTGCACAGAGCCATTTGTGGGATGAGAAATTTCATTCTGACCCCGTATCATAGTCCCATCCTACACATAAGTTTAAGAATGAAATGAGTGCAAGAAACAGGGAAGGATTCTAGAGATTAACATTCTTATTATAATGACTAACACCATAGTCCATCATCCGAAAGCATTGGTGCTTTTGAAGTGAGTGCTTCAAAAATTATTAGCATCACTTTTCGTCAAACACTTCCAATGAATTTTGTAAGGTGTCGCAAGCTCATAATATTGAAACGTTCACAATGATTATGGGCTATCGCCTCTCAGGCCCCAGATATTACAAATAGAGACCTCTTGGCCCACCATCCAACACATCAATTTGTAGCTGTAGGGGGCTCATCATCCAAAATTGTTAACTGAGTTGTGCTTTTGTTATCAGTAAGTAGGTTTGTACCCTCACATTCGGTAAAACACTATGAACATGAGTATGATATAAATTTTCCACAAGCACCTAGACTAAAGGTCAGTTTAACTTGACTAATATCTATGCTGTGAGCTGCTAAAGTACTATAAAATAATTGTTAGTAAAAACAGTTCTAAAGTGAAATTAGTATAGCATTCAACAAAATTTGTAATAAAAAGTACTTTTAAAATAAATGGGATATTTATGTTTAATAATTTTTAGATTACTAATAAATATTAAAATGATAAAAATTGCATAAAAATAAAAAGTAATAATCATACTACTTAAATAATATTCCCTTAAAACTGTTCTAATAATTAGACTTTAAATATATTTTTTATTTTAATTATCTTATTTACTTTTTAATATAAATATGAATTTTAAATTATCATTATTTGATTTCAAAATAAATTATTTAAATAATTCATAATAAAACAAGTAATAATCATTTGCTATTATATTTTTATTTTAAAACAATGAATAATATATTAAAAAATATAAAATTAAGGAATATACTAATAAAAAATATACTGATCTCCCAACACACATGTCATACTTCAGAAGTATCTGTTTCAGCTTTTGATCTCACCTTTATCAAAATCAAAAAATGGAAGCTATATTTACCTATAAACCAATTTTTTAGTATTTGGCTAGAATTCTGCTTTTTAGCAAAAAAAGCAGAGGCGGGAGCCTGGCCAAACAATCACTAATAAATTTCCCCCAGCTTCTTTGACTAGAACAGTATTAGCAACGACGGTAGTACAGCAAAATATTGAATCAGATACATTCTTCATTGATTGTTAGCATGTCCAATCAGGTAAAAATATTCTCAATGAACCATATTAGGGAGACATGAAAGTAGGTGGTTCTACAAAACTTAATGTATCATATCTGAAGATCTTGGAGAAAAACTACTGAAAGGTTAAGAAGGCTAAATATAAAATTTGTTAGCAAAAGAATAAATATGTGTATATGGAGAGAGTCATTGTTAATAATACCCATAATTCACATCCTAATGTAAGCCTGTCATTAGTTGAAATCACAGGGAGAACCAGGCTTTCAGAAGGAATATCTGAAACGCGCGAGAACAAAAAAATTGCAGCATCCAAAGACTGAAAGAATATTCTTGCTCCTGCAAAGAAAAAATTTCCTATGCTGCAAAATGACAGCATAAGCAAGTAAAAATAAATCAGAAAAAATAAATACATGAAGTGACTGCAACTGAGCAATGGAGCAAAATTACAAAAATCTGGTCAGCAAAATGTCTCAAAACACGGCCAGGGAGGTTGTTTTCTGATTAGCTTTTGCAAAAATGATATAATATATAAATTTTGCAAGAATGATACAGCAAAATGTTTGCTGCCAAACTACTACTAAAGAATAAACAACAGGAAGTATAATTCAACCAAGTATATCTAAGATTATATTCATCATAATTTGCAGGATACGACATATCTATCTGAAACAATAAACTAGAAACAATCAAAAGTAGAAGTACCTGCCATTACTGAAACAAAATGATTCACTAGGCCGGCGGAGGACCTGCATTTGTAGAGTCTATCTTAGTTTCATATCAAGCATTATTTTAGAATCTTTACGAGATTATTCTGGAAGCAGGAAAGCAGAAAATGCTTTGTAAAATAGATCACATGTGCGTGTGAACAGGAGAATGCATTGGGCCAAAAACCAGAGCAGATACAAAACATGAATTACAAGTAAAACACTCAAACTGAGTCTCCTAAGAAGCTTACCTCGTTCTGAAAATACACCAGAAAAGCTAGAATTGTTTCCCTATAGGGCCTTGATACACCTTCCCATAAAGAATGTTTCCCTTCCACAATATCATACCTGTCAAATTCCCAACTCAGCACACTATTACTCAGAAACCCCCACCACAGTCACACCTAGCAAATCAATGAAAGAAATTCAGAATATAATATATGATGGCCAAACGGTATGACATAGGAGGACATTGACATTTTTCATTATTTAAAGGATTTAAAAGAATAAAATATTATTTTTATTAAAAAATTAGGGGAAAAGTAGTGAGAAAAGATATACAATAATGGAACATGTCTACAAATAACACATAAGATTACATGTTAAATTTCACAGCTTTCTTATATATTAAATTTTACAGTTTACTTACATACTAATTTTTAGTTTATGAATTTTTGCATGTGCAATGTATGATATTGCAGGTCAAATTGAAACATAGCACCGGTAAAAATTCGCAAACTTGAGTCTACTGTCGGTTATCTACTTCATTAGCAAGTTCAATTTGCTAATGTGGCTTCATCAACTGCTTTCCATAAGCTAATGTGAGGAGAAATGGAAAAAATATATGAAGAGAAGATATTTGTGAAAGAAATTAAATAAAAAAAAGTATAAATAAACATGCGCAATAAGCCATTTAGAGGATGAAACAGAAAGAACATGTAAATTGAAACAATTGCTACATTATGACCTAGACAAAGGAGGATAAGCTTAAATGTAATCAAGACTAACTTTAAATAGGATATCCAGAACATTCATTAGCAGACATAATCTCCGCAGCTTACTATAATTTATAAAAAATATCAACGATAAATTACCATTCTGCTTTTGCCTTCTTCACATCTATAGGCAAACGATGGCCAAGTAATCTTCGGACAGCAAGAGCCTCAGAAGTACTTTGGTCAGACAATCTCAAACATCTCGATCTTATGTCCCCAACTGCAGGACCACCTAAAACACATTTACCCAGTTAATCTCCGGTCATATAAAGAAAATATTTTTTGAGTTTTTCTGTTCTTATGATAGATAACTCTATAAATACCATATATTATTTCTTCAACATAATAATCAGAGCAATACCATAATAATATTTTATTTTATTTTTCTAGCATGTATCTTAGTGCAGAGTAACTCCCATTTGTTTAATTCCCATTGCTCTTCCTCAACGGCTACACTATTTGTAATTAATTGTAGCTTTCTTTCTCTTATTCCTAAAACTTGTATATATACGGATGTATTATTCAATGAATTTTGATTCGATTTTAGTCCAGAATTTTGAGTTTAGAAATGGGTAGAGGGTGAATGCCACATTCCCGGTAGAAAGGAAAAATTTTCACATTGCCGCATCTCTGATTCTTAAGGTAGCATGCTAATTGTTTGGGGGTACCAGAGTTGTTACGAGAATGGATGTGCTCGAAGGATCCTTCTCTTTGTCTGTTATAGTAGACGTGAAAGGGAAAAGATCTTGGTCAACAAATTGTGTTTATGGGCCACCGACCACTATATACTGGAACTAATTCTGGGAGGAACCGTCCTGTCTTTTAGGATTATGTAATCCACATTGGTGCACTGAGGGTGATTTGAATTCATGTAGGTCTCCCCACAAAAAACTTGGGGAAGGGAGACAAGGATATGAGAGATTTTAATGCCTTTAAATAGGACTTTTGAGCTGTGGGACTTACTGGTGAGTAATGCCCAATTTACCTGGACAGTGGTTAGAAGAGAAAGAATTTCATCCCGTATTGATCAATTTTTCGTATCATCATGTTGGGAGGATAAGTTCCCTGACTTTGTACAGGAAATACCATGTCTAGTATCTGATCACTTTCCAATTATTCTGGATTTCCAATGGGTGAGTTGGGGATCCCACCCCTTTCAGAATATGGGCTCAGGATCCTGAGTTTTTAGAGAGAGTGAAGGAATGGTGGCAGGAGGATCTGATTAGATGTGGGAAGGGTTCAAGTTTAGGCATGAGCAAATAAGTTTTTGGCAACACTAGGAAGAAGAAAGGCAGACATCCTTGAGAAGCTAAAGTTTTGGATAATTTGGCTTCCAAAAATACAATTTCCCCAAGCCAAACGTCTAGGATGATCGAAATCAATAATGAACTCGAGGAGATTTGAATAAAAAGGAGCAAAAGTACAGACCAAAAATTAGGTTAAAAGGACTAAGAAGGGTGATGCTAATACCAAGTTATATCATAGAGTAGTTAATGGTAGGTTAAAACTATAGTTCTGTTTGTAATTCACTTTCCTAATCCTTTGTCCTTCTCCCTTATTTTTGCCCTATCACT